GGAGGGGGCAGGTGAGGCCTGGGGGAGGGGAGGACAGGTGGGCCTGGGGCGGGGAGGAAGATGTGTTTGTCGAGAACTCACCGCGTGCCTCCCATGTGCCAGGCTGCAGGCGTGGCAGAGAGCAAGGCACAGGTCAGGGCCTACCTGGAGTCTACACTGCTGCCGGGCAAGCCCTGTCCGCCAGCAGGTTGTGTATCTGTTCTGTTGGAGTAGAGACGTGGGCCTGAGGCCAGGGGAGTACAGAGCAGGGCTGAGGAAGTGCTGTTGGGAGCAGGAACGGGATGGGAAGATCTGATCCTGAACGAAGGGCCTGTCTGAGAAGGTGACTGTGGGAGAGCTGCGGCAAAGGGAGAGTGTATGCAAAGGCCCTGGGGTGCGGTGGGCCTGGCCCGACCGGGAGCACAAGAAGGCTGGTAAGATGAGTGGCGGGAGAGGGCAGCGGGAGGCCCGGGACCTGGGGACAGAAGCCGTGGAGCAGAGGCAGGGGCTGGTGGCTTGGAACCACGGTGGAGGCTTTGCCTTTGCTTTTGTGACTGTTTGTTGCTTTGGTCACAGTCTGAATTTAGTGCATGCAGAGATTCCCGGTCTGTGTACGGAACAGTTCATCACCCCCAAATCCCTGCTGCTCCTTGGTGGCCTCCCCTCCTGCAGCCCAGCCCTGGCAGCCTCAGTCTCTCGGAGGGCATCCTGAGCAAGCGACCGAGGCGGGCACTTTCACTCAGCACAATGCCCGTCGATTCGTCGCTTCTTCCAGTCGCTGTGCGTGTTGTGTCTGGGTGTTTGTGTAAACGTCAATTTTCGTTTTCCTAGGCAGGCCTTGGCACACTGTACCTGCAGTCCACATCCCCAGCACCACCTGCTTTTGTCAATAAAGTTTTATTGGCACATGGCCACCCGTTCATGTATGTATGGTCCTGGGTGCTTTGCACGGTGGGGGAGCTCAGCCGCTGCAGCAGGGACTGTGTGGTCGCCAAGCCAGGCATGTTTACCCTCTGACCTTGCCCAAGAGAGTGCGCCGACCCCTACCTTAGCGTCCACTTGCAAGTGCGCTGATGGGCCTTGGCTGCTTGTTCTGTCTGCCACGCCCACTGGCCCCTGCTCCCGCGGCCTCTCCCAGGTGTGTGGCAGTGGCTGGTGGTGGCTCTCACTTGTGCTTCCCGGGCAGCTAATGCCGAGGAACGATTGCGTACATACTTACCATCTATCTGCGTGTCCTTTTGGTGAAGCTCTTTTTTTTTTTAGAGAGGGAGAGACAGAGTGCATGAGCAGGAGAAGGAAGAGGGAATCTTTTTTTTTTTTAAGATTTTATTTATTTATTTTAGAGAGGGGGAGGGACGGAGAGGGAGGGAGAAAGAATCCCAAGCAGGCGGCTCCACACCCAGCACAGAGCCTGACGTGGGACTGGATCTCACAACCCTGAGATCGTGACCCGGGCCGTCATGGAGAGTGCGATGCACCCCAGCCCACTTTTTTTTAGTTAAATTGACCGTTAATTGTGTGTTTAAGGACTAGAGATTGAGAGCTCTCCTGTGCTCTGAGGGCAAGTCCTTTGTCTGGCACGTGATGGGCAGGCACCTCCTCCCGGCTTTTAGCTTTCCGTTCTCTTCGCTGCCTGCTGAGCCCAGGCTTCGGGTTTGGTTGAGGTCCAGCTCACCCTTCCTTTTTTCTGAAAGTTCCCTAGTTTTACATTTTACATTTGGATCTGATTCTTTTAAATAAGGTGTGAGGTTCTGCTCGCGGGTTTTTGTCCCTCAGAGATCTCCGAGTCTTTGGGCCCCTCTGTTAGGAGACCTTCCGCACTGACTTGCTTTGCTCCGTGTCTGACATCAGCTGGCCCCACGTGTGCGGGGCGCTTTCTGGACTGTCTGGTGGCACCAGTCTCGGTGTCTGTCACCAGGGATTTCCGAAACCACCTGACGGATGCTTTCACGGGCTCTTCCCTCTCTGACTCCTTCTCAGTGCTGTCCGGGCCACTGGCGCTCCCCTCCTCAGTGCCGTGGCCATCGGACTGGGGCTTTGCTTCCCCTGCTCTTCTGCACCCCTCCAGGCCTGGGCCCGTGGCGGCAGGACACAGCTGCAGCCGGTGACCCTGCCGGGGACCACACCCTCTGGGCCATCAGAGAGGAAGGACCCCTTCCCCAGTCTCGGCTTCCGTGGGCCCCTGTGGCTGCTGCTGTCCTTGCTGCCCCCACAAAATCACCAGGGGTGGGGGTTGGGATGTGAGGAAACAAGCCTCTGTTTCCCTAAAATGACAGGAGATGCTCCACTGTGTGAAGTTCTTCAGCCAGAACTGAAAGGCCACACTGCGTCCAGCAGGGGGCGCTGGGGGAGGAATGAGTGAAAAGGCTCACGGCTATGTCGGTTGTCCTGGGGCTGCCTCTCCCTGCACCTGGGCTGCTTGCTGCAGGTGCACCGTGGACATGCAGCAGCCAAGGGCTGCTGAGAGGCCAGCAGACAGCAGAGATGCCAGAGGCGGGTGGTTTGGGGATGGGTCTGCAGGTGGGGCCGTGGAATCTGCTGACAGACGAGAAGTAGGTAGGAGGCAAGGAGAGGAACCGGGCAGGGCCCAGCTCTTGGTCAGAGCGACTAGGATGGTTGCAGGGTGGGGGGTCAGGGAGGCGAGCAGCCGGGTTTGGGCTGTGAGTTTGAGACGCCTGTGAGGCAGCCCAGCGGCCACATCAACCAGTATATTTGGATATTTGAGCTGAGCTCCAGGGGGAGGTTCGGGCTGGGTGCGTGGGGAGAGGAGTCTGTTTTCCTCGTCGAGGTGGCACAGGGAGCCCCAGGCCGAGCACCATGGGGTCAGTGCTGGGAAGATCAGGGCTGAGCCCCAGCATGAAGCCGTGGGGGCAGGGGCCTGCAGGGGAGAGAGCAGGGGCGCATGGGGGAGGTACCAGTGACCTGGTGCGTGGGGTGTTCTGGAAGCCGAGGGAAGCGAGGGTTTAGGAGGGGACCCGTCCGCCATCAGGTGTCACCTGGGCACTCGGGGGCAGAGCACATCAGCCTGGCAGAGTGGGGGTCGCTGGCGTACACGAGCCGCCGAGTCTGGAATGGGCTCAGCCATAGTCGTCTCTGGGGAGAATACCAGTCAACGCCCCAAAGCTGATCGTCTGTCTCAAGATAAAGTACTTGGTGGATACATGGATGGATACTTGAAATACCACTTAGGATACACCTGAGTTTTCGTGGAATTCGTGAAATAAATGCAAGCTCCTCCTTACTTTCAGGTGCTGGAGCCACAGCTGGGCCCGTTGCAGAGATGGAGCGGGTTCTCAGGCATGGTGCTGTGGTGCAGAGAGAAAGCGGTACCTACGAGTCGAGGCAGATTCCATTCCCTCTGGTCCCGGGTGGACATGTGCCTCCTTAGCTTCCGTGCTGTCCTCTTCTGTAACACCAGAACTCGGAGGGGCTCGCAGCTCGTCCCCGACCCCATGCGGTGCCACCGTTCTGCACCTCGCGGTCCCAGGAAGGGCGAGAGGACTGTGACGCGTTGGTGTTCACAGAGCCTGGCGGCTTCCCAGGGACGCGGCCCGCAGGCTGATCTGAAATGCTGCCCCGTGTGTGACCGCACTTAGCGGCTGTTCCGTCAGTCGGGCAGTCCATCCACTGACCATCCGTCCCCGCGCTCCGAGCCCAGCCTGCCTGTCCAGCCGCGTCCCACCTCTCTGCAGTAAGGGGTGTTCTGAGTGAACACCGCTGGCCCCGTCTGCTTCAGGCGACACGGCCTCTTCTTCAGACATGCTTTTCCTCCTCCACCTGGCACAACGCTGCTCATTCTCGGAAAACAGGCTCCCAGGTCCCCTCCTCTGGAGACTTCCCCCACTGACCGCAGAGGCAGGCCCGCATGGCTCCTCGGAGCCTTCTCAGGAGGGAGCCAAGTGCCCTGTTCCTGCCGATGTCGGGCTCCCCTGCCCATGCTTGGGTGGCGGGCGGGCTCACAGACGTGCGGGTTGGATCTGCAGTTCTCGGCTTGGCGCTCCCAGCCGCCGGCAGCCCCTGGCGGTGCGGGCAAGCTGGGCTCCCCACGCCCTTCTCACACGCCTCTGCCCGGCGTGTGTCGCAGGAGTCATGGCCACGGCAGGCTGTGCGGCCTCGTCGGTCCAGCCCTGCACGCTTGTGCCCAGCGCCGGGGACGGAGAGGAGGGGCCCAGCGGGGTGCGGCCCCTGCCTCCAGCCGCACGTGGGCACACGCAAGGGCTGGGCTGGGGCCACGCGGCTCCCCAGGCTGCACTGGACATCCGGTGAGGGGAGCACGACGCTCCTGCCGGGAGAGGGTCTGCGGTGGCTCGGTCCCAGGGAGGCTAGCAAGCAAGCAGAGACATGAAAGCGGGGGCAGCCGAAGAAGCCGGT